TGAGAGTTCGAATCTCCACAGGGAGGGCGTTCCAGAGGGTCGGAGCAGCCACAGAGAAGGCTCTCCTCCGAGCAGTCACCAGTCGACATTGGGCGGCGGATGGAATTCGGAGGAGGCCTAATCTGTGGGATCTAATCGGTCTAGTGGAGGTAATTGTGTTATATAAAAGTTAGTCTTTTCAGTATTACAGTGGCAGTGCACAGTAAAATATGCTCTTTTTTTTGAGATAGATATTAGTACTATATAGGCCTTCAGAACACTTAATTGTGCAGAGACAATTTCCTGCCATCTCATATGAGAGGCTGAAAGCAATTATAGATTGCTTTATCAGCAAAAAAGCCAGGACAATTGGTATTTCCACTCATGGGGATGCCTGTATTTATATTTGGCTGATTCAGTAGTTATGATCTTCTTTAGTTTTCCTACTTAAACTAAGAGGATCAGAATTGGGAGGAGTGATGCCCACTTAGTTTTACTCCTTTCCGTACATAGATAGGAAAAATAGTCAGAGTAATGTAACTAATATTATCCTATATCTCTTTTTATATCAAGGTTTTAAATGTCCTCCAATCAATTGGTATATAATCATCTTTTTTTTTTCTACTTGAGTAAAGATAAATAAATGGTTTGAGTAATAAATTGCAAGTCTCTGTTCTCAATCTTTCTGCTTGTAAAACAATTTTTTGATGGAAAAACAATTATTGTCCTTATTATTTCACTTATTGAACAGTTTGGCATATCTGTCATTTCCAACAAAGGCAAAAGTATTTTAAATTTTATTTCTTACATGATATTTAGTTTCATAATACCATGACTGCTTCAAAACATGACCTTTGGTTTTGCACCTGTCATGAAACATTTCTTGTTGCTTCTGGAAGGTGAGAAAACAGCAAATCAGATTCATATAGATATTAAGGAAATATTTTCTGAGGAAATATGATCTTAGGAAAACATAAGTAAAACAAAATATGCTTGTTCAGAAGAACAGGCAGATAGCAGGACAAAAAGAAATACAGTGAACACTTCAGAAAAACGGATACTTCAGAAGCCAGAAGCCATGACATTAAAGTAGCCACTGAAAGTATCTAAATAGGCTCAAGGTAATGACATTTCTCTTTTCCCAACCAAACAATATGTCTTATTGCATTTTTAAAATCAAGAACCAGTAGCTATCAAAGAAATGCTGTCATACCATTGAATGTTGTCTTCTTCTTAGACCAAAGTAGTAATTTAGGAGGACTTGCAATGTATGATAGCTTTGAACAATCTCATGAATAAGTTTTATGGAGGAAAATGCAAACAGATGGCTTAATTAGCTACAGATAAAATAAATAGACTTTTGTAGAAACAACTAGGCATCTTAGACATAATTCAGCAAAGTAATGTATAAATGCTAGCTGCTGGTAGGAAATAGGTTTAATACTATGGTTAGTTCAGAATAACAGCTTCTGACAAATAGTCCCAGATACGATAACTTTTCCTGGAAGTTTTCTTGAAACATACTTCAATTTAGCATTACAATAATTATAGTGCTTGCAGAGAGACACATTCATTTTTTTCCTTTTTATTTTCTGTAATAACTTTATTAAATTTTAAATAAGAAAAATAAAAACTAACAGAAACTAAGAATTAGGAAAATAAAGAGGAAAAAGTAAAGAAAGAAAGAGAGAACAAAGCCAGAAGTGCACTTTCATGTTTCGATTGGCTAAGGAATTTTTCAAATGCTAGAAAGATCACTGCAAAAACATCTTTTGGTCTCAAGTTCAGTAGAAAGAATCCTGAGGAACCACCATAAGTTGATATATGAATCTGAAGAGAAAACACATTCTCCTTTCTTACTTACGAGAAGGATGAAAACAAGAGTTTTTGCTTTGTCTACTCTCGTTACACTGAGAAACTTGCAGACCACAAAAAAAATCTTTAAAAATATCAGTCTTTCAGTTGTGTTTTTGGCAAACCAGACCATCCATCAGCATAGAATACTAAGTTAAATTGATTATTGTAATGTTATATATTAATAGTTTGGTTGCATTGCAATTGGCCCATTTTTATCAAAGAGTGTTTTGCCTATGTTTTGCCCATGAAGTGGTTCTTTTTTGGAAGATGCCATTTCAAAATACTTTCTATTTACTGAAATTACACATTCAAAAAGCTTATTATGGAATACAATTACTGTATTATGAAATTTAATATTATGTGTTCCAGCTCAAATATTGGCAGTTGTTCATGCCAAAATCACCATAATTTGCTTGCATCTCTTTTTATCTTCAATACTATATCCTTTAGTTTATCAGTCAATACATTCAGTTAGAGTAACCATTGTTAACAAAACAAAGCCATGTAAAATATATAGTCATATAAATGCTTAATGGCAAATTTTCCACAAATTCCATAAAACTTCCACAAATTAACCACAGTAAAACATTCCTTAAGATTCTTCTATATCAGAAGGGACCATGCCTCTTCTTTTCTCAGGAAAAAGAGGAAAGTGTCAAACTCAAGGCTGAGGGTGGGCTTATATCTGGCATACAGAGCCACTCTGGAAACAGTAAAGGCTCACCCCACGGTGCCTCTGCCAGTGAAAATGGGCTCCCTAGTTCTGTTTTGGCTGCCGTGGCTTTCTGCAATTCTCTGCCAGTGAAAACTGTCCTGAGCTCCATTTTCACTGGCAGAGGGTTACAGGAGGCCGTGACAGCCGAAAACAGAGCTCAGGAGACCATTTTCACTGGCAGAGGCACTGTGGGCCACACAAGGACCCCCAACAGGAGTGATGGTGGCCTGGCCATGCCCAGCCCAGCCCCTTGACGTCAAACACAACATGATGTGTCCCTCAATAAAATAAAGTTTAACACCCCTGATCTAGGCTTTAGAAAAAAAGATTGTGGTCCCACAAAACAACTGTCTGCCCAACTTATTATCACTTGACTAAGTGATGCCTTGGCTAAGAAGCTAATGAGAAAAAAACAATATTATTTGTTTTGGGAAATACCGCTACAAATTCCAGATTAAACAGATGCTTTTTCTTTGATTCTTATCCTTCCATACATGTCAACAAACTGACCCATTGCTGCTTATTAGCTATCCTTGTGGGCAAATGTGTATGTCAACTGGATTACACATATAGTTGTTTATTTATTGGGTTGCCCATCCCAAATTCATGACCCTGGGTGGGATAACAATCTTAAAATAAAATTTAAAAACAAGAAAACAACATGCAGAGAGAGCAGCTGAGGTTAAAAAAAAAACCAAACTAGTTCATCTCAAATCAACATGACCAATGTATAGGCTCAGCCACACTTCCTGACTCCCAGGCCTTGTCACATATAATAATGATATATAGTACTGTAACCGTATAATGCTGTTAATGTGGGATTGAATATAACGCATTTCCCTTTGAATAATTAAAATAGCTTCAATCAGAGTCATTTCTGTAAGCAGACTCCAGAAAAAGACATAGGTACTTCAGCAATTTGTAAGGAAGTGATTTCTATT